TGCTTCCTGTTGCTTATCGCATAGAGTCTGCCACGGAATAAGAGCCAGGCCAAATTCCGAAACTTTAAGGGATTCTCTCCAGATTCATCAAACGCAGGCCCTCCCTCATAACAGGGCCTGGGCAATCCCTCAAGGCCAATGGCTTACTAAAGGTGGATTCAACAACCTCCTCTCCAGGGCCTTTCCTCTGCTGTCACTCGCCACTGCCAAAGCATTTTCAGGCACGGGGCAACATAAGTTGGGAGTTTACCATGTTGGACCCTCAGGCTTTTCACTGGCCCACTATTCTCCCAGCTCCACAGAAAAGGTCCTCTGCCAGTATGCTACCAAAATTATGTTTCAAAATCATCAGAGAAAAGAAAACCACTGGGTTGACCATACTTAGGCCACCCATCCACCTGGGAAGGTAGGTTACAGACCTCTTAATTAGGTTCAGTCTGTTCCCCCATAACATCTGGAAGAAACAACTGTAGATCTTTGCATAGAGAGACACTGGAAAAACACACAGACAAAGCTGACATACAGAAATACTGGGATCAGATAAGTTTTAGGGGATCATTTCTGTAATTGCCCCCTTTGCCACACTCATCCCCCTCCCTGTCCTGCCCACAGCTGATTCCTCCTGCTGTTTGCTCCCTTTCTCTGCCGTGCTGCTGGCTTCTCTCCTGTCTTGTCAGCTGCTGCTGGCACACAGGGGGATGTTCAGGATGGAGAGTGAATGAACCCAATGAGTGACTGTTACCGATCACTCACTGTGTTCCATTAGAACTGAAGCATAGTAAACAGTATTCCATTTCCTGTTCATTCATCAGCAGTGCAACTGATGCTGCAGAGAAAGGAATTGAAGAATGTGTGTCCTCAATTCCTTTCTATAGAAGTCCACAAATGCTTTAGCTATAGCCAAAGGATTGGACACGAGATCATTAGCTCTCAGATGGCGTGTTGTCTTAATTGTGTTTTTTAGACGTTGGCCTTTAACTGACCTGGCTAGGAGGGAGCTCGCTTTATTGTTTAGAGAGTAGTAATTGGCTTTCACTTTTTTTAAATTAAGGTCATATTGGAATAGTAGAAGGGAACAAAGCTTTTCCCTCTCAGCCAATAGGGAGGAGGAATTATTCTCAGAGGAGCTATTTTTGTTTATTTACTCTTTAGTTTTTGTAGAAGCCAAGAACTCTTCAATCTAGAGTCTCCTATGGGTGGATACTTGAGGTGATAGTTTAGCAAGGATCCTTTGCATAAAAGCTTTGTATGTAGACCATAAGGTGCTAATGGATATGTCAGAAGTATTACTGGTTTCAAAAAGGGCATGAGCATCTATAATAGTTTTCCTGTGTTTGAGTTCCATTAAAAGTATGGAATTTAACCTCCAAGGTTTAGCAATGGGTAGTCTGCCAGGTGTGGCTAGTGCCACGGTGATTGGTGAGTGATCCGACCAGATTAAGGAACCGATTGAGGAGGAAGAAATGTGCTGTAAAGTCCATTTATCCGTGAGGAAGAAGTCTACAGTATTCTGAAATACGAAGTTGGGAAGGAGAGTAATATGAACAGTCCTCTGATCGTTGTCATGAAGGAATTGATTAAGACTGAGTTTCGAGGATCGTTTGCCAGATGATGTGTCCAGTTGAACATTGCCAACTATATTGAAATCTCCACCTATTAATAGCTGACCTTTCTTCATTGTTGTAATTTTGGCCATTAGTTGTTTGTAGAATTGGAGTTGGTCAGACCATGTACATTAACAAGCGTAAAAGGGGTATTGTCGAAAAAGACATACTAGGATATGGAGGCGACCCAAGGGATCAGCGTATTCCAAAGATAATTGAAATTTAACCAAGTCTTTGATCGCTGTCATGACTCCATTTGTTTTTTGTGGTGGGATGCTAGGAATCTTGTTGAGAAATTCTTGAGTTTGAAAAAAGGTGTTTTAGATAGAGCAAAGTGAGTTTCTTGAATAAAGATGACATCAGCAGGTAGGGCAGTAGTTTCCTTATTTATTGAAGTACTCATAAAGGGAGAGTTGAGTCCTCTGACCTTAAATGATACTACATTTAAACATTTTTTAATATATATAATTGATGTGAGTAGTATGAGGTAGGCTGTATCATCGAAGGATTTTCGAGTGATAGGGATTTAGACGTGTGAGAGGTGCTATTTCATTATCTTGAAAGGTGACGGGCGTGTTCTGTGTTGTCGCTGAGAAGCCTTGTGGCAGGTAAAGTCACTTGTAAATTAAGATTGTAATGATAACTGCCAAAGATATAGAATGTAGAAGTGGAGCAGTAGAAACAATAGAGAACATCGTAGAGACTTATATTTAAAAACATCCTTGCGGAAAATACAAGAAACATGGGTAGCCCGGATGACTACTGTCATACGGGGGCAGAGTGGTACACATGACAACATCCAGTTGTCCTCGTCAGTGGTGAAAAAGAGGGAACTAACATTAGAAGTAGGCCAAAGCCCTACAGCAGCATATGTATGAGATAAGGGTCGGGAAGCCGACTTATGAAAAGACAGTGTTCAGGTCCAGTCACACCCTCCATTTAGTGAGGCTTGTGTGGGTTTTATGGTGGTCGTCTACCGGAAGTATATTCCACTACTTAAGGAGATCTATGCCATCGTTTAGGCTCTTGATAGTAAAATATTTGCCCTGATGCTTAATAAGAAGTTTGGTTGGGAAGCCCCATTGGTATCCTATACCGTTGTTTCCTAGTGCTTTGGTGATAGATAGAGATGAGCGAATCGAACATGGCGAAGTGGAATTCGTTTAGAAGATTAGGAAAAATTCGATTCGCGCCGAATCCGAAAATTAGCAAAACTTCGGATGCACGAATCAAATTTTTCCAAAAATGGCGGCGACATGTGTGGCGACGGAGCGGGGATCTCTGGGAAGGCGCGCAGACAAGGCGCGCATGACCCATAATGCATTCATTCATGACATGTGATCGCATTATAGCCAATCAGCAGCAGCCAGCCAGCCAGGGACACTGTGTAATGGTGGAGCTATAAATTGCGGCCATCTTACAATTCTCCATTAGCCTCCGGTCATTCAAGAGAGACAAGACCTGTCTCTGTATTAGGGACAGAGTTAGGCCAGAGAGACTTTAGGGCCACAGAATCGTTACTTAGGGGACACAGAATCGTTACTTAGGGACACAGAATCGTTACTCAGGAACACAGAATTGTTACTCAGGGACACAGAATTGTTACTCAGGGACAGACACAGAATTGTTACTCAGGGACACAGAATTTTAACTCAGGGACACAGAATTGTTACTGAGGGACACAAAGAATCGTTACTGAGGGACACAGAATTGTTACTCAGGGACACAGAATTGTTACTCAGGATAATCGACACAGAATTGTTACTCATGGGACAGACACAGAATTGTTACTCAGGGACACAGAATTGTTACTCAGGGACACAGAATTGTTACTCAGGGACAGACACAGAACTGTTTACTCAGGGACACAGAATTGTTACTCAGGGACAACAGAAATGTTTACTGAGGGACACAGAATCGTTACTCAGGGACACAGAATCGTTACTCAGGGACAGGAATCGTTACTCAGGACACAGAAGGGGGTTGTTACTGAGGGACACAGAATTGTTACTCAGGGACAAGAATTGTTACTAGGACCAGACACAGAATTGTTATCAGGGACACAGAATTGTTACTCAGGGACAGACAAAGAATTGTTACTCAGGACACAGAAATGTTACTCAGGGACACAGAATTGTTACTCAGGGACAAACAAAGAATTGTTACTCAGGGACACAGAAATTGTTACTCAGGGACACAGAATTGTTACTGAGGGACACAGAATCGTTACTCAGGGACACAGAATTGTTACTTCAGATGGTCGGACACAGAATTGTTACTCAGGGACAGACACAGAATTGTTACTCAGGGACACAGAATTGTTACTCAGGGACACAGAATTGTAACAAGGGACACAGAATCGTTACTCCTGGGACACAGAATTCCACTGAGTTACTCAGGGACACAGAATTGTTACTCAGGGACACAGAATTGTTACTCAGGGACACAGAATTGTTACTCTGGGACACAGAATTGTTACTGAGGGACACAGAATTCGTTACTCAGGGAAACAGAATTGTTACTCAGGGACACAGAATTGTTACTCAGGACACAGAATTGTTACTGAGGGACACAGAATCGTTACTCAGGGACACAAGAATCGTTACTCAGGGACACAGAATCGTTACTCAGGGAACACAGAATCGTTACTGTCCCCGAGACACAGAATCGTTACTCAGGGACACAGAATTGTTACTCAGGGACACAGATTGTTACTCAGGGACACAGAATCATTACTCAGGGACACAGAATCATTGAATTAAAGAGTATGTCAGACAACACGCAGAGGAGTGTGGCAGAGAGGCAATGTTTCAGGAGCGAGCAGACGTGGCAGCAGAGGAAGGGGTCGAGGCAGCACTAGTCGCAGCCAGAGGCCATGCTCTTCCCGGTGTCATCCAGCGGTCGTGTCTCCACCGACAACCCCTGCCGTCATCGATTGGTTGGCTCGGTCGTCTTCCTCTTCCCAGGTCACCTCTGACACCTACAGCCAACGGTCGGTGGGTACGTCAGACACACCGTTAGTTGGCATGGCCCGGGAGCAAGCCCACTGAAATCACGTGTCCTCTACCTGCCCCTGTCCTTTGGTGTTCCCTCACCAAGCGAAGTATCGCATGCTGTGGGCTCAGCCCCACTGTACAGTGAGGAAGAGCTAACAGAGGGCGGTCAGGAACGGGGGGAGACATCCGCCTCTTTCAGCAGCCAGGTGAAGAAGTACTGGCGAGGAGAGTGGCTCGGTAGCCGGTCTAGAGACAGGTCTGTCTCCTGACCCACACGCAGCCGAGGGGGCTAGTAGTGAGGCGGAGACCCTAATTGATGATGATGAGGCTGATCGCACTTGGCAGCCCTCGTCGTCATCTGCCAGGCCCGTAATCTGCCATGGGCCCCCGTACCGACTCCTCATGCTGCTGCCAGGTCCAGAGTGTGTCATGGGTCCCTGTACGGCCTCCCATTGCTGCTGTCTCCATCGCCACACTCTGCCATGTGCCACTTTCAGGTCTCTCCCTCACACTGCTGGTGGGTTCCATTTTTGTCATAGGGTCTGGCAGATTACGGGCCTCCCATTGCTGCTGCCAGGCCCGTATAATCTGTCATGGGCCCCTGTACCGCCTCCTCTTGCTGCTGCCAGGGTCCAGAGTGTGTCTGGGTCCCTGTACGGCCTCCCATTGCTGCTGTCTCCATCGCCACACTCTGCCATGTTGCCACTTTCAGGTCTCCTCACACTGCTGGTGGGTTCCATTTTGTCATAGGGTGCTGGCAGATTACGGGCCTCCCATTGCTGCTTTTAGGCCCGTAATCTGCCATGGCCCCCCCCGTACCGACTCCTCATTGCTGCTAATGCTGCCAGGTCCAGAGTGTGTCATGGGTCCCTGTACGGCCTCCCATTGCTGCTGTCTCCATCGCCACACTCTGCTATGTGCCACTTTCAGGTCTCCTCACACTGCTGGGTGGGTTATGGGTTCCATTTTTGTCATAAGGGTGCTGGCAGATTACGGGCCTCCATTGCTGCTGCTGCCAGGCCCGTAATCTGCCATGGGCCCCCGTACCGACCCCTCATGTGTGCTGCCAGGTTCCAGAGTGTGTCATGGGTCCCTGTAACGCCTCCCATTGCTGCTGTCTCCATCGCCACACTCTGCCATGTGCCACTTTCTCAGGTCTCCTCACACTGCTGGTGGGTTCCATTTTGTTCATAGGGTCTGGCAAGATACGGGCCTCCATTGCTGCTGGGCCAGGCCGTAATCTGTCATGGGCCCCTGTACCGTCTTTCCTCATGCTGTTGCCAGGGTCCAGAGTGTGTCATGGGTCCCTGTACGGCCTCCGGGATTTCTGCTGTCTCCATCGGCCACACTCTGCCATGTGCCCACTTTCAGGTCTCCTCACACTGCTGGGGGTGAGGTTCCATTTTGTTATAGGGTGCTGGCAGATTACGGGCCTCCCATTGCTGCTGCCGGGCCCGTAATCTGCCATGGGCCCCCGTACCGACTCCTCATGCTTTGCTGCTGCCAGGTCCAGAGTGTGTCATGGGTCCCTGTACGCCTCCCAATCCCATTGCTGCTGCCAGGCCCGTAATCTGCCATGGGCCCCCATTACCGACTCCTCATGCTGCTGCCAGGTCCAGAGTGTGTCATGGGTTCCCATTATTGTACGGCCTCCCCATTGCTGCCTGTTCTTCATCGCCAACTCTGCCATTGTCCACTTTCAGGTCTCCTCACACTGCTGGTGGGTTTCCATTTTGTCATAGGGTGCTGGCAGATTACGGGCCCATCCCATTGCTGCTGCCAGGCCCGTAATCTGTCATGGGCCCCTTACTAGCCTCCCTCATGCTTCTGCCAGGTCCAGAGTGTGTCAATGGGGTGTACGGCCTCCCATTGCTGCTGCCTCTCATCGCCACACTCTGCCATGTGCCACTTTCAGGTCTCCTCACACTGCTGGTGGGTTCCATTTTGTCATAGGGTGCAGGCAGATTACGGGCCTCCCATTGCTGCTGCCAGGCCCGTAATCTGCCATGGGCCCCCGTAAAGACTCCTCATGATGCTGCAGGTCCAGAGTGTGTCATGGGTCCCTGTACGGCCTCCCATTGCTGCTGTCTCCATCGCCACACTCTGCCATGTGCCACTTTCAGGTCTCCTCACACTGGTGGGTTCCATTTTGTCATAGGGTGCTGGCAGATTACGGGCCTCCATTGCTGCTGCCAGCCGTAATCTGCCATGGGCCCCCGTACCTGCCTCCTCATGCTGCGCCAGGTCCAGATGTCAATGGGATCCCTGTACGGCCTCCCCATTGCTGCTGTCCATCCATCGCCACAACTCTGCCAGTGTGGCCACTTTTCAGGTCTCCTCCACACTGCTGGTGGTTCCATTTTGTCAAGGTGCGGCAGATTACGGGCCCCCCATTGCTGCTGCTGCCAGGCCCCAATCTGCCATGGCCCCCGTACCGACTCCTCATGCTGTGACGTTGCAACACCCGTGGAATTCAACCCTACATATGTTAACCGCCTTTACGAACAGCGAAAGGCCATCACCGATTTCCTGATGTTACAAAGCGGATAAAGGTACTCCCCTGTGTAACTTAGATGTCAGCCATTGGCACTCATGCTGGTGGGACACCTGCCGCTTGCTCAGGCCCTTGAGGAGGCCACGCTTATTCGTGGAGGGGCAGGACTATGGGAATAACGATGTCATTCCTCTGTTGCACGTCCTGGAACAAATGCTGTTAACAATGGCTGGTCAGGGTGCGGAAGACGTGGCGCACAGATCTCAACGCCACATGACCCCTTGGGGGCAGGACAGGAAAGAAGGAGGAGGTAGAGGAGGACATTGGTGCTCAGGAATTATTGAGTGAAATGGTGTGTTTTTCCACTCAGCGGACAGGAGTGGAGGAGCAGAGCATCTGGTAGAGGAGGAGGAGGAGGAGACAGAGGACCCAGACGCACCGTGGCAGTATGCTGTGGAGATGGAGGCAGGAGTCCCTCGCATTCCTTGGCACAAATGGCCCATAGCATGCTCGTTTGCTTGCGTAGCAACAGCCGAATAATAACCATCAGACAGAGGGATGACTTTTGGCTGTCCACCTTGTTGGACCCCTCGCTACCGTTCAAAAATGGTGGCCTTTTTCACACCTGCTGAGAGGAGAGGCCAAAATAAGGACGTACTCTAAAAACCCACCTATGTAGTCAGCTGGTCTCTGCCTTTCTGCGCCAACGTCCATCCTCAGACACTGTGGGCCCTGTGCGCTCGCGTTCCGCCTGCCATGGCAGCAGGGGAGGGGTGGCTAGCCCGTGGTAGGAGCAGTGGCAGCTCCACCAGCAGCGGCTGCCTCAGTCTGCAGTCGATGATGAGTAGCTTTCTTCACCAGCGCAGTGAGGGAAAACTACTAACCAGCCGCAGCAGCAGCAGCATCAGGTGGACCTGGAGCAGGACCTCAAACAACAGGCTTGGGCCTACTTGGACAGCACCCTGCCAACCGAGGTAGACAATCCCCTTGACTACTGGGCAACGAAACTTGACCTTTGGCCCCAACTAGCTGAATTTGCCCTTGAAAGGCTGTCATGCCCGCCAGTTAGCGTGGCATCGGAGCGCGTGTTTAGTGCGGCAGGAGGTATTGTAACTCCGCGGAGGACACGACTGTCCACCCAAAGTGTGGAAGACTCACGTTTGTGAAAATGAATCAGGGTTGATTAGTCTGGATTTCAAACCACCATTTCCTGACACAACTGACTAAATCCGCCATGAATCATGCCCCAAACATGTTATTATTTTTAACATAGGCCCTCTGTATGGCCTCAATTTAAGCTGCTTACGCTTCGCCACTCTGCCATGGGCCCCTGTACCGCCTCCTCTTGCTGCTGCCAGGTCCAGAGTGTGTCATGGGTCCCTGTACGGCCTCCATTGCTGCTGTCTCCATCGCCACACTCTGCCATTGTGCCACTTTCAGGTCTCCTCACACTGCTGGTGGGTTTCCATTTTGTCATAGGGTGCTGGCAGATTACGGGCCTCCCATTGCTGCTGCCAGGCCCGTAATCTGCCATGGGCCCCCGTACTGACTCCTCATGCTGCTGCCAGGTCCAGAGTGTGTCATGGGTCCCCTGTACGGCCTCCCATTGCTGCTGTCTCCATCGCCACACTCTGCCATGTGCCACTTTCAGGTCTCCTCACACTGCTGGTGGGTTCCATTTTGTCATAGGGTGCTGGCAGATTACGGGCCTCCATTGCTGCTTGCCAGCCCGTAATCTGCCATGGGCCCCCGTACCGACTCCTCATGCTGCTGCCAGGCCCGTAATCTGTCATGGGCCCCTGTACCGTCCTCCTCATGCTGCAGCCAGGTCCATTAGTTTTTTTTCCCAGTGTTGTCATGGGTCCCTGTACGGCCTCCCATTGCTGCTGTCTCCATCGCCACACTCTGCCATGTGCCACTTTCAGGTCTCCTCACACTGCTGGGTGGGTTCCATTTTGTCATAGGGTGCTGGCAGATTAAACGGGCCTCCCATTGCTGCTGCCAGGCCCGTAATCTGCCATGGGCCCCCGTACCGACTCCTCATGCTGCTGCCAGGCCCGTAATCTGTCATGGGCCCCTGTACCGCCTCCTCATGCTGCTGCCAGGTCCAGAGTGTGTCATGGGTCCCTGTACGGCCTCCCATTGCTGCTGCCAGGCCCGTAATCTGCCATGGGCCCCCGTACCGACTCCTCATGCTGCTGCCAGGCCCGTAATCTGTCATGGGCCCCTGTACCGCCTCCTCATGCTGCTGCCAGTCCAGAGTGTGTCATGGGTCCCTGTACGACCTCCCATTGCTGCTGCCAGGCCCGTAATCTGCCATGGGCCCCCGTACCAACTCCTCATTGCGCTGCTGCCCAGGCCCGTAAGCTGTCATGGGCCCCTGTACCGCCTCCTCATGCTGCTCCCAGGTCCAGAGTGTGTCATGGGTCCCTGTACGGCCTCCCATTGCTGCTGTCTCCATCGCCACACTCAGCGTGCCATGTGCCACTTTCAGGTCTCCTCACACTGCTGGTGGGTTCCATTTTGGTCATAGGGTGCTGGCAGATTACGGGCCTCCCCATTGCTGCTGCCAGGCCCATAATCTGCCATGGGCCCCCGTACCGACTCCTCATGCTGCTGCCAGGCCCGTAATCTGTCATGGGCCCCTGTACCGCCTCCTCATGCTGCTGCCAGGTTTAGAGTGTGTCATGGGTCCCTGTACGGGCCTCCAATTGCTGCTGTCTCCATCGCCACACTCTGCCATGTGCCACTTTCAGGTCTCCTCACACTGCTGGTGGGTTCCATTTTGTCATAGGGGTGCTGGCAGATTACGGGCCTCCCATTGCTGCTGCCAGGCCCGTAATCTGCCATGGGCCCCCGTACCGACTCCTCATGCTGCTGCCAGGTCCAGAGTGTTCATGGGTCCCTGTACGGCCTCCCATTGCTGCTGTCTCCATCGCCACACTCTGCCATGTGCCACTTTCAGGTCTCCTCACATGCTGGTGGGTTCCAATTTGTTATAGGGTGCTGGCAGATACGGGCCTCCCATTGCTGCTGCCAGGCCCGTAATCTGCCATGGGCTCCCGTACCGAATCCTCATGCTGCTGCCAGGTCCAGAGTGTGTCATGGGTCCCTGTACGGCCTCCCTCACCATTGCTGCTGTCTCCATCGCCAGACTCTGCCATGTGCCACTTTCAGGTCTCCTCACACTGCTGGTGGGTTCCATTTTGTCATAGGGTGCTGGCAGATTACGGGCCTCCCATTGCTGCTGCCAGGCCCATAATCTGCCATGGGCCCCGTACCGACTCCTCATGCTGCTGCCAGCCCGTAATCTGTCATGGGCCCCTGTACCGCCTCCCCCTCATGCTGCTGCCAGGTTTAGAGTGTGTCATGGGTCCCTGTACGGCCTCCAATTGCTGCTGTCTCCATCGCCACACTCTGCCTGTGCCACTTTCAGGTTCTCCTCACACTGCTGGTGGGTTCCATTTTGTCATAGGGTGCTGGCAGATTACGGGCCTCCCATTGCTGCTGCCAGGCCCGTAATCTGCCATGGGCCCCCGTACCGACTCCTCATGCTGCCAGGTCCAGAGTGTGTCATGGGTCCCTGTTACGGCCTCCCATTGCTGCTGTCTCCATCGCCACACTCTGCCCATGTGCCACTTTCAGGTCTCCTCACACTGCTGGTGGGTTCCATTTTGTCATAGGGTGCTGGCAGATTACGGGCCTCCCATTGCTGCTGCCAGGCCCGTAATCTCCATGGGCCCCCGTACCGACTCCTCATGCTGCTGCCAGGTCCAGAGTGTGTCATGGGTCCCTGTACGGCCTCCCATTGCTGCTGTCTCCATCGCCACACTCTGCCATGTGTAAACTTCAGGTCTCCTCACACTGCTGGTGGATTCCATTTTGTCATAGGGTGCTGTATGGCCTCCCATTGCTGCTGCCAGGCCCGTAATCTGCATGGGCCCCCGTACCGACTCCTCATGCTGCTGCCAGGCCCGTAATCTGTCATGGGCCCCTGTACGGCCTCCTCATGCTGCTGCCAGGTCCAGAGTGTGTCATGTGTCCCTGTACAGCCTCCCATTGCTGCTGTCTCCATCGCCACACTCTGCCATGTGCCACTTTCAGGTCTCCTCACACTGCTGTGGGTTCCATTTTTTCATAGGGTGCTGTAATGGCCTCCCATTGCTGCTGCCCTCCACCGCCACACTGTGGCTCCACACTCTGGTTTTGGCCCCGTGACTGCCCAAATGAGTGAAGTGTGCGATGATTCTAAGATCGACGGCACTCATCTGCATGTCATACTGACTGACAGTATTATTTCTCTTCCCCAGCAGACTCCAAGGGCATTTAAATTAAAGGTACAGTGTTCTGCACTAATATAAAGGCTCTCTGAAGTCTAGAAACACCCTTTTTATATGTTAAATTCGCAGCTAATATATTCGACTCGAATCAAATTTATTCCGCGAATTCGCCGAATCAGCCGAATCGAATTTTTGAATAATTCGCTCATCTCTAGTGATAGACATCAGTTTTTCCTGTTAAGGAGGGTTTCTTTGGAGAGATCAGCATAAAATTTGATACCTATATGAGAAGTAGGGAGTACTGTGAGGTTTCTAGTGGCCATCATTAGCTTCTCTTTGTTATGATAAAAGTGAACCCTAATTAGTACATCTCTTGGGATTGATGCTGGCAAAAATGAGGGTGTAAGGGACCACCTGACAGCACCTCTAGCAACCCACTGGTCGGGCTTCCCCAGAGCGCGTGGTCTAAGTTCCGGAGCACTTGTTCACCAGAGCCCCTGATGGTGGGGATGGACTTGGAGCGCTCCGAGACCAGGTCGCCACTACTGGATATACCCACCAGTGGTAGAGGAGTCCGCCAGGGGCTCCCGCAGGGTGAGAGTCTGATGTGAGGGGACCAGGGGGTCCTAGAGGATGGATGGATGGAGGAGCGAAAGCTAAGTCAAACAAGCCGAGTCGGTAGCCGGGGGGGTCGGTGCGGTACAAAACAGTAGGCAAAGAATGTCGGGTCACACGCCGGTCAATAACAGGAGATCAGATCTAAAGGGGAACATCCAGGAGCGAAGTCAGGCAAGCCAGGGGGTCAGGATAGGAGAAGGCAGCAAGGTCAGACAATCCGGATCAATAGTACTCACAACACAGGTATCAGATAACAGGAATCACAGAAAGACCATTCGGCAACAAGTGTCTGTGCAAGGCTGGTTTAAGTAGCCCACCCTGCACCTGACAGGCGCAGCCTAGGTCCTAGTGCCAGCCCAGCACTGTCATAGACGACGGGTGAGCCTGGGTCCTAGTGCCCTGCTGCCTGCATGTCTTGACAGACACCTACGCATGTGCAGACCCATGCGTCGCGATGGTCCCTGACAGAGGGTTTTGGTATTCTGTGTGCTCTGTCAATTGCAGCTTCAGTTGTGTTAATTGCCGGAATGAGGTGTTTCATCAGTTGTATGTATGGTAGAAGAGCATCAGGAGTGAACGATTCTGAGATTCCGCAAGTTTTTATATTATTTCTTCTAGACAGTCTTCTAAATCTATCTTGTTTCTTAGTTGTATGATCTCAGATGCGTGGTCAGCGTGTGCATCTTCTACTGTGTTATGGGCTACAAACATGTCAGACATCTTATTTTCAATGTGGTGTATCCGTTTGGTATGGTCAAAAATGGCATTTGAAAGAAGGGTTATCACATTGGAAATATCATTGTGTAAGGTATGCCTTAAAGAGAGCAGCATACTTTTCATAGTTAATTCAGATACAGGTTGATCAGAAGCTGGAAATTCTTTAATGTAGTTGTAGTGTAGTAGTATATCGGACAGCTGAGGAGTGTGGATAGTTTTGTGATGGGTCCTCAATCCTGGGCCTAGTCTTACCAGGGCTTCTGGATGTGGGAGAGAGAGGAGGAGAGGACTCACCCGGGTCGCCATCATACAAGGGAACCAGGAGCCTGTGGTTCGCATTTAGGTGTTCTGTTATGATGCGGGGATGGAGCGGCCGTTCTGTGAGGCGCTGATGCCATCTTGGGATCTGGAGTCCCGGGTCTAATAGAAATCCATGAGCCTTTGGGGTTGTGCAGGAGATTTCCTCCTGCGTGGCACATCTCCAGAGGGTGTGTGGGGGGTTATACCCCTTAGTTACGAGTGTCTAAAACAGCTGCTGTGGCGGAGATGGCAGCAGAGCTGTTTCACATTGCGGCCATCTTGGGTGCCAGCCGAGCATGCGCCCCCATAACACCTTTTTAGTCATTGGCATATGAGGTCACATATACAAAGGAAGCAACACCAGAAAATGTGTATAATTTGCCTTGACAGCAATTTTACTCTTATGGGTCAGTAGCATGTGTCAACTCATTCACCCATTCATGCAGTCATTGATTGCAAATAGGACAAGTAATTATAGTTAACACAAATATTAACTGCTTCCCATCTGCCCTATAGCAGAAGTACTGCTACAGGGGCGGCACGGGTGCGCAAAATCACATATATACAGTATGTGTGATTTTGCAGTACCAGATAGGGGGCTCGCAGGATGCGCGTCCCTACCCTCACTGCCATTCGCTGCCTCAGCTGTCAATAACCGGGTCCCAGCTGGTAATTACTCCCTGGCCCCAGGTTATTGCCGAGCATCTGCAATGGGGGTTGAACTGTTTGTAAACATTAGAGTTCTCTCCCCTGTCAGCTCCAGAACACTGCTTTGTATGGCTCTGCATAGCAGTGAGCTTACAGTGAAGCACTAACACACCGCCCCACAGTAAAACAGCACACAGTTAACCCTTTGATCACCCCACATGTTAACCCCTTTCTGCCCAGTGCCATTACTACAGTGTCAGTGTTATTTATTAGCACTGATCACTGTATTGGTGTCACTGGGGATGTCAGTGACACCAAGTCAGTTCCCCCCAGTGTCAGAATGCCAGATGCAGTCCCAATTTAAGTTGCTGATCACAGTCATTACTAGTAAAAACAAAAATTCCAGTATATATACCGCCATTTGTAAACCAATTAATTTACACATATTGGGATTTTTTTTTAGCAAAGACATGGAGCAGAATACATTTTGGTGTAAATTTATGACGCAATTTGATTTTTTCATTTTTTTACTGGACTATGCTTTTTGCTATGTTTAATAGCAAAAAGTCAAAATATTGTTTATTTCTCAAAATTTTAAAGCGCAAAAAATAAAAATCGCACAAACTATCAAATACCAGCAGAAAAAAGCTCTATTCGTGGGAAAAAAGGACACAAATTTAATTTGGGTGCAGCATTGCATGACCGCGCAATATGGCAAAAAGTATGGCTAGGTTAGGAAGGGGGGTGAGGTAATCCTCTGGAGGGCAAGTGGTTAAGCAATAAAAAAAAAAATCACTGCCCTGGCCAAATTAAATTTTTTAAAACCTTTCCTTTGGTATATCTTACCCAGGGGTGGGTCCCCCCACCCTATGCAAATTTTTATAACCCCTTGCTTATTAGCCAACAACATAGACATTTTTGATTTCACAGCTTCCGCTTCCATTGATTTCAGTGGACTTTGGGTTTAGTGGCCTAACTTCTCTGAAGTTTGACGAACCCTGCTTGAACAGAACTCAGGTCAGTTTGGCTCATCCCTAATTATGATGCAGATAACATGTTCTGATGCCTTTAGGCACTGAGATCTACTTTGCAGCCTTTCCCAGATTGGTATTTCAGCTACCGAATTGCAGACTGCTCCTCATTTCTAGAGCTGTAGCACATCACCCATCCACACTTTCCTAATACATATCATTTAATAAATATCAGTCAAAGTAACGCAGTGCCGTAACGCAAAAAATGGCCTGGTCAGGAAGAGGGTAAATCCTCTGGAGGGCAAGTGGTTAGAGCAGACTTCCCTTGTACCTTGTTATCCCACAATGAGATTAAAATGCAATTGATGGTCAAATAAGACAACACTGACGTGCAGAAAAATAAATCTCATGTTTTTAAAAGTGGAGACAGGTCGGCAGGAATTCCAATCCATTCTGGAAGGAAAGCAGCTTCATACTTGAAAATTTTAAGAAAAGGAGAATCTGGCAAAGTGAAGTTTGTAAGGGTAGATGGTTTCACCACCAACCAAGTAGGCAGCCCAATAGCCAAATGTCCCTATGGTCATAATGGTATGGTTACAATGTGCCAGGAGGGCAAAATCATGGGCTGGAGAATGTACCTTACCATCTCCAGCAAAATGTACATCTCCCAGAGAGTTATTAACGTTCTGTATACACCAATTCATCTCATTACTGGTAACCACAAAGAGAGGGCTATCATACTTCATTCTGAAATAGTCCATAGCTTTTTGTATATAGTTTTTATCAGCTACCACACCTTTCCGTTCTTCAGCCATGACCCTTATATAGTCCCCTCTGCGAACATGAACTCCGATAAAGGTCACATTTTTTCTATTCCCTTTCAGGTTTGCAAGGTATGAATTTGCCATTTCCTTAACATAGTCTTGGAAAGTGAATTCTTGTAGAATCTCTTCTCTTATGTGATGATAGAAGGTCCACGAACATGGAGCACCAAACAATTTAACATATTGTCCAGAGATGTTGGTATATTCCGGGGACATCCAATCATTCAGCTTATATATTCTCCATTTAATCTGGTCAGCAACTTCCTGATGAAGAACAGGCAATTTCATTTTAAATATTCTTCCTAGCTCACTATGCATCTTTGGCAAAATGTAACCTTGGTGCCCATTAAGCTTTGCTAGAGCATAAAGAACTGCATACTTCCCCATCTTGTTTCCCAGGCGTGCAACTGGATTCACAGTCCAAATTGCAGCATCTGATTGCACATTGCTGGAAAGTGATCTCTGTTTGTCAGTTAGAGTACTGCAGGAGCCACTGCTATGGTTTGTATAGCGGAATGTTGTTACAGGACTTGATTTCCAGTTGACATGATACCAGACAATTAAAAGATTCATAGAGAGCATCGTAAAAAGCACACTTGTCTTCTTTAAATTCAGGTTCATTTCTAAACAGAAATAAGACAATACAAAAATTACAAAATGCTTTTAGACATGACATAGCTAAGTTGTATATAGCAGGGGTGGACTGACCATTTGGAAACTCGGGCACTGCTCGAGGGCCCGGGGTCAGTAGGGGGCCCCATGAGATGCCCCTGGTACCTTTTTCATAGGCTTTTTTGAGTTTGGGCAAGGACACAGGGGCCCCATGATCCCCTATTGCTCGGGGGCCCCATGAGTTGTCAATCTGCCCCTGGTATATAGTAATCCTTTTAATAGCTAACAAATGTGGTCTTAGTCCATAAATGCCATACATGTTATATACTGTAGTTGAGAAGAGAAAATGAGAGTCCATGAGTGATCAACAATAGATAAGATGCCGTCTTGGAAAATTTAATAGGCCTGTTTTGGAGGAAAGAAATGGCATTCCTCAAATTTCTCTTCCTTTTACGTTAACATTGTGTAAATCAGATGTGTTAAAGTTCTTCACTGTTCATCATTTCTGTCATGTTCATCCTTGGACACTTACGCTTTCTTATATTTATATAACTACAGTATACAAATTTTATTTTTTAACATTCTGAAAACTCAAGCCATAGATGGTCCTTCAATCACCACCCAGCACAGCAAAAGTCAAAGTTAAGGTGTTTTGTAGCCCACAGAGATACTGTAGCAGGAAATAATGCTAACTGGTAAAAGTGCATAAAGAAATCAGCTCACAAGTTCTGGTAGATCACAAGCTTAATAATGTCATGCAATGCCAAGCTGCGGTTTCTAAAGGGAGCAAAATCCTCTCTTGTATTAGAAGAGCTATAGAGAGTGAGATATCATTCCCCCGGTACAAATCATTAGTAAGACCTCATCTGGAATATGCAGTTCAGTTTTGGGCACCAAATCACAAAAAGAACATTGGGGAACTGGAGAAAGTACAGAGAAGGCCAACCAAACTGATTAGAGGCATGGAGGAGCTCAGCTATGAGGAAAGATTAGAGGAACTGAACTTATTCTCTCTTGAGAAGAGGAGATTAAGGGGGGGATATGAGCTCCATGTAATACATAAGGGGGGATGATAAGCTCCATGTATAATACATAAGGGGGGATAAGATCTCCATGTATAATACATAAGGGGGGATATGATCTCCATGGGGGGGATATGATCTCCATGTATAATACATAAGGGGGGATATGATCTCCATGTATAATATATAAGGGGGATATGATCTCCATGTATAATACATAAGGGGGATATGATCTCCATGTATAATACATAAGGGGGGATATGATCACCATGTATAATACATAAGGGGGGATATGATCACCATGTATAATACATAAGGGGGGATATGATCTCCATGTATAATACATAAGGGGGGATATGATCTCCATGTATAATACATAAGGGGGAATATTATCTCCATGTATAATACATAAGGGGGGATATGATCTCCATGTATAATACATAAGGGGGGGGGATATGATCACCATGTATAATATATAAGAGGGGATATGATCTCCATGTATAATACATAAGGGGGGATATGATCTCCATGTATAATACATAAGGGGGATATGATCTACATGTATAATACATAAGGGGGGATATGATCTCCATGTATAATATATAAGGGGGATATGATCTCCATGTATAATACATAAGGAGGATATGATCTCCATGTATAATACATAAGGGGGGATATGATCTCCATGTATAATACATAAGGGGGGATATGATCTCCATGTATAATACATAAGGGGGGGGTATGATCACCATGTATAATATATAAGGGGGGATAAGATCTCCATGTATAATACATAAGGGGGATATGATCTCCATGTATAATACATAAGGGGGGATATGATCACCATGTATAATACATAAGGGGGGATATGATCTCCATGTATAATACATAAGGAGGATATGATCACCATGTATAATACATAAGGGGGGGGGGGGATATGATCTCCATGTATAATACATAAAGGGGGATATGATCTCCATGTATAATACATAAGAGGGGATATGATCTCCATGTATAATACATAAGGGGGGATATGGAGATGATCTCCATGTATAATACATAAGGGGGGATATGATCTCCATGTATAATACATAAGGAGGGATATGATCTCCATGTATAATACATAAGGAGGGATATGATCTCCATGTATAATACATAAGGGGGGATATGATCTCCATGTATAATACATAAGGGGGGATATGATCTCCATGTATAATACATAAGGGGGGGATATGATCTCCGTGTATAATACATAAGGGGGGGATATGATCTCCATGTATAATACATAAGGGAGGATATGCAATCCATGTATAATACATAAGGGAGGATATGATCTCCATGTATAATACATAAGGGGGGATATGATCTCCATGTATATTACATAAGGGGGATATGATCTCCATGTATAAATACATAAGGGGGGATATGATCATCATGTATAATACATAAGGGGGGATATGATCTCCATGCATAATACATAAGGGAGGATATGATCTCCATGCATAATACATAAGGGAGGATATGCAATCCATGTATAATACATAAGGGAGGATATGATCTCCATGTATAATACATAAGGGAGATATGATCTCCATGTATAATACTTAAAGGGGGATATGATCTCCATGTATAATACATAAGGGGGATATGATCACCATGTATAATACATAAGGGAGGATATGATCTCCATGTATATTACATAAGGGGGGATATGATCTCCATGTATAATACATAAGGGGGGGGATATGATCTCCATGTATAATACATAAGAGGGATATGATCACCATGTATAATACATAAGGGGGGATATGATCTCCATGTATAATACATAAGGGGGGATATGATCTCCATGTATAATACATAAGGGGGGATATGATCTCCATGTATAATACATAAGGGGGGATATGATCTCCATGTATAATACATAAGGGGGGATATGATCTCCATGTATAATACATAAGGGGGGATATGATCTCCATGTATAATACTTAAGGGGGGATATAATCTCCATGTATAATACATAAGGGGAGATATGATCTCCATGTAATACATAAGGGGGGATATGATCTCCATGTATAATACATAAGGGGGGATATGATCTCCATGTATAATACATAAGGGGGGATATGATCTCCATGTATAATACATAAGGGGGGGATATGATATCCATGTATAATACATAAGGGAGGATATGATCACTATGTATAATACATAAGGGGGGATATGATCTCCATGTATAATACCTAAGGGGGGATATAATCTCCATGTATAATACATAAGGGGGGGATATGATCTCCATGTATAATACATAAAGGGGGGATATGATCACCATGTATAATACATAAGGGGGGATATGATCTCCATGTATAATACATAAGGGGGGATATGATCTCCATGTATAATATATAAGGGGGGGATATGATCTCCATGTATAATACATAAGGGGGGATATGATATCCATGTATAATACATAAGGGGGGATATGATCACCATGTGGGAGGGAGAAGCGAAGAAGCCAGCTTTCAGCTGCTGCAGAAAGAGCCATACAGGGGATCGGTTCCAGTAATTGCCCCCCTCCATAGTGCCGATCACCCTCCCTGCCCACATCCAATTCACAGGCTTCCTGGTCCCCTATTCTGACCTGGGTCTCATTCAAGAGGACTGGTGGTACCTCCTTATCCATGGCCCTGGCCCTGATTATCAGTGCATCCCCAAGAGTGCCCATCAGTGCTGCCTATTAATGACAAACAGTGTCCATCAGTGCTGATTACAGGGTGGCAGGGGTGCGCAAAATCACGTATATTTACGTGATTTTGCAGTTCCGGGTAGAGGGCATGCGCGAGCCGTGTGCGTGCCCTACCCATGCTGCTGTTAATCAACGGGTCCCGGCCGTTGAACACTTGCTGGCACTCGGTGATTGCCGAATACTACTGACGGGGGAGAGAACTGTATGTAAACAACACAGATCTCTCCCCTGTCAGCTACTGTACACTGCTTTGTATGGCTCTGCATTGCACAGCCATACAAAGCAGTGTGCTTACAGTGGAAAGCACACACACTGCCTCATAGTAAAACACTCCCCACACACAGTTAACCCTGTGATCAGCCCAGATGTTAACCCCTTCCTGCCCATTGTCATTAGTACAGTGTCAGTGTTTTTTATTACTGATCACTATATTGGTGTCACTGGGGATGTCAGTGACACCACGTCAGTGCCACCCAGTGTCAGAATGCCCGCCGCAGTTATAAGTTGCTGATCGCCACCATTACTAGTAAACAAACAAACAAAAAATTCCAGTATATACACAGCCATTTGTAGATGCTATAACTTTCACGTAAACCAATAATTTACACGTATTTGGATTTTTTTTTAACAAAGACATGGAGCAGAATACCTTGCCTTAAATTTATGATGAAATGTGATTTTTTAAATTTTTTTTATTAAATATGTTTAATAGCAAAAAGTCAAAAATATTTTTTTTCTCAAAATTGTCAGTCCTTTTTTATAGCATAAAAAATAAACACAGAGCCAATCAAATACCACCCAAAGAAAGCTCTATTTGTGGGGAAAAAAGGTCAAAAATGTCATTTGGGTGCACCGTTGCCTTACCACGCAATTGTCAGCTAAAGTAACTCAGCGCGTTTTTTTACTGGATATGTTTAATAGCAAAAGGCCAAAAATAGTGTTTTCTTTTCTCAAAAATGTCGGTCTTTTTTTTATTTCGCAAAAAAAAAATTAAGGGCAATCAGATA